CGCAAATTTTTTTCAGACCCTCGGGACAGAATAATGAAACACCGGTACTTTTATTCATGATCAAGCTGGAAAGTATAGTTTCTTTCAGGAGATATTCAGCTGTTTTTGTCATTAATTTACCTCCTTGTTCTCAAAGGAGTTTTCATACTATCATAGTGTTCGAACGAAGATAGCCGTTTGTATACTTGAAAGATTTAATTTTTCTTGAGGTCAGTATTATGTGAGAAGTCGTGGATAAATTTCTTGATAATTGTAGAACCGTTCACGCGCGCATTGGTCAGATTGCTCGCGAGCTATTGTTAGTTTTACGAAATTTTCCACCGTTTATGTTCTTATCGCTCGTGGAAATTAAATCAAAGTGAGCAAAATTAAAGTGAAACCACAAAGCGAAGTCTTTAAGCGTTGCACACAGATCACTTCCATTTACGTGCACCATTCTAACCAAAAAACAATTCAAATGCAAATAAGCCTCATGTAAATATTCTAAGATTTACTCTCGACAGAACATTTTAGCTAAAGTCCGTGCCTGATGTCCGTAACTGAAAATGTCAGCTTACTTAACCCTCTCGAAACGAGATATATTCGCTCTCACTAATCGATCGGCCAAATCTCCTGTATACATCCGAAGCCCGCGCTTATGTGGTGTGTGTGACGTCATTTCATGGTCATTAGCTCTCGACCAATGAGCGCGCGGAAATTTCTCCTGTGATTGAAAAGGAAAGTATCAAGAGAGATAAATTGAAGTCGATTTGTCAAGGAGACTTTTCCTCTTCTATAATGTTGGGTTCACCATGAAAAAAAAAGAAAATTGAAAAATCTTAAAAGCTTTACGACAAAAGCGGCAAAGGCAAAAGACAACAAGCTCATAATGAAGAGATTTAGATGTAAATTGTAACGATCTGGAAACGATCTGTTTGAGTTCGCCGACACGAACTGTTCATTTCGATCTGCACTTAAAACAGCGACGATTCGGCTGACGATTTTGATGTAAAACCAGTCAAATTCATGGTTCAAGGGATCGCACACCCAAAAATGGCTTACCTTTTGAAACGATTCACTCAAAAGAAACTCGTGGATCCCGAGACTTTGTCGCAATCTGAACTGTCTCGTTGTTTATCGATATTCGACCTGACCTCTTTAGGGATTGGCAGTACCCTTGGAGCTGGGATCTATGTGTTAGCGGGAGAAGTCGCTCGATCTATGGCCGGACCGAGCATTGTTGTATCTTTCTTCATAGCTGCCGTCGCTTCCATTCTATCGGGGCTGTGTTACGCCGAATTCGGCGCTCGTGTTCCCAAAGCTGGTTCCGCTTATATCTACAGCTATGTAACGGTCGGAGAACTCTGTGCTTTTGTGATCGGTTGGAACTTATTTCTTGAATACGTTATCGGCGCTTCTTCTGTAGCTAGAGCATGGAGTGACTATTTCGATTCTGTTCTTGACGGGAGAATCCGTAATTATGTATTGACCCACATTGGAGAAATTCATACATCTGGACTCTCAAGATACCCAGATTTTTTTGCCCTCGTGCTCTTGTTGCTGGTGACTTTTGTTCTTGGGATTGGAGTTAAGAATTCTTCGAGATTCAACAACATATTTACCGGCATAAATCTTTTGGTGATTTTATTCATAACTTGTGTTGGAACATACTTCGCCAGAGGTGAGAATTGGACAAATGATTTTACACCGTTTGGAATTTCTGGAGTTTTCACGGGAGCGGCGACATGTTTTTACGCTTTCGTTGGGTTTGACGTTATTGCTACGACTGGCGAAGAGGCAAGAAATCCAAGCAGAGCGATTCCTATATCTATAGTTCTGTCCTTAGGTAAGGTCATAATCCGGTTAATTCTGTTTATGGAATGAATTCCACCCATGCCAAAGACAATTGATGCATGGTTTGATCTGTCAAAATTCACCGACACGATTTAAGACAAAAACACTACCGAATAAAAAATATGTCGGTGACTGCAAAATTTTCTCCGTTCGCCGGACGGCTAGTTCAAAAAAGATCAAAGTGGTCATTTCGCAGCATTTAATTTCCTTCAAACACCGCTTCACTGATTATAATGGCTATTTGTTAAGAGCAGTTAACAATTTCAAATTCAGTTTCCTCTTGATTAATCGTAGACTTTGACAGCTGGAATTATAGCCGACGATTTTTCCAGCACTAAAATGAGTTGGTTGTAATTTGCCGTTATATTACTCTTTGCTTAAAAGTTTTGTTCTCATCAGCCGCTGTGATGGTCACCGGCAGAACCTGTAGCTACTTGTTATCTTAAAATAACCAAGATGGAATCCTTCATTTACATACAATTTCAATCATTGGTTATTTTAGCTTCGTTTGGTTAATTTCCCGTTTATATGAAAATCCCCTCCATACATCTCCTCTGCACTTGCGTAAATTTATAGGACGGAAATCCCTCGAGTACAAATTACTCTTCAAATATTGAAATATTGTTACAAAGCTGAGTCACGTTTCACGTTTCGAAAGATCAACCGCATTCTCTGCAGAACAGCTGTAGCTTTAGTGATATAAACGTTCTAGATATTAAGTGGTAAGCCGAGCACATGCATCTGGTCGGCGGTTCTTATGTTTAAGATCATTTTGTTTTAAAAACTGAACTGATAATGTAAATTGGCCACTGCAGAGGGTTTCTCAAGCTTAATATTAATATAACAACAAGCAGTCAAATGATGAGAATAATGGAAGATATCACTTGGGAGATTATTTGTTATCCACCCAAACTTTTATCTTTGAGATTTCTTGCCAATATGGTACAACTGTTCATGTTACTATGAACTAATTTGAGTTTTACGCATCCTTTTTGCCATCAAAGGAATTTGTTTCGTGGCCTATTTTGGGGTCTCTGCCGTGCTGACTCTCATGGTGCCCTATAACCAGTTAGCTGAACGAGGTGCTCTGCCAGAGGTATTTGCGATGCGAGGAGCTCCATGGGCCAAATACATCATAGCTGTGGGAGCCCTCTGTGGATTGACCGCATCTTTGATTGGAGGCCTGTTCCCTCTACCCAGAATGCTGTACGCCATGGCAAGCGATGGCCTCATTTTCAAGTAAGCAACTTCATTTTAAGCCTGCTGGACGCATTTCTCGTCCTTGAGTTTCCGTTATTATAAAGGCTAACTTAAATATATTTCTATGGCATAAAGATACATATTTTGTAATAAGTGATTACACATCGTTTTAGTACACTGCAATACAGAAAAATACTAAAGTTCTTGAGATCCGAGTCTTTTTTAGTGCAATATTTCCGCTGATTAATTCTCTCTTCCGTAATGGTACGTGACAGAAATATTGTCTTTCACTTAGGCGTAGTTTTTGTGGTTTCTAAGGATTATTATAATTCTTACATTTTTAAAAGATTTCTTGCCAAGGTACATCCAAAGACGGAGATTCCAGTTATTGCCACCGTCCTGTCAGGGGCCCTTGCGGCGTTCTTGGCCCTCATATTCGACCTTGAAGCTTTGGTTGAAATGATGTCCATCGGTACCCTGTTAGCGTACACAATAGTGGCCCTGTGCGTGTTGTTGCTTCGTTATCAACCCGGCAGTGTAGGAATCGTCAAAGGAGGGGAAAAGATTTTCTTAACTAACGAAGAAACTGCAGACCACGAGGCCCCGAGGGAAGACACTCGATTGACGCAAGAAACTGATGGTCCGACTTTGCAAACTGCACGACTCGCTGCCATTGGAATCTATTGCAACGTGGCGACGTACTTCTTCATAAGTATTCTTCTCATCTGGGGAGGCCATGCTATTTTGAATGGGCGAGCATGGGCCATCTTCATGGCATGCTTATTAGGGATCCTCTTGGTCACTTTCATCGTGCTCCTTGTACGACAGCCCCAGAACAAAACGCCCCTGCCATTTAAAGTGCCATGTGTTCCGGCCATACCACTGTTCTCGATCTTCATTAACGTTTTTCTGATTCTGAAGCTTAACTACTTGACGTGGATTAGGTTCGCCGTATGGATGACAATAGGTGAGTTAAAGGGTTTAATGGGGGGTACTTGGAACGATGTTACTGTAGAAATATTTAAAATTGTTTGGAATTAAGTTCAGCCGTAGCAAGAGATTGTATAATCATAGTTGTTTAATGCGAAGATATCAGTGCATACAACAAAATATTAATGAAACTACTTAGACCTTGTTTTCTGATGCGACCTGTGGTCTCGTTTTGAGGGTCTTTTACGGACCAACTTTGAAATTACCCATATATCTACCACACTACAAACGCTGACTGACAAATCTAGACGCAAATGATAATTTGCCGAGGACTTCGTTGCGGCCTTCAAGACTGTGAAGATACCTGACGACGGCAAACTCGTGTCAACTGGTGTCAAAGGATTCTTCACTATTATTCCACTTCTACACTATCGATACAAGGTGTCCGCTTCATATGGGACCCGCCTAAGACAGGTTCAATGGTTGTGTTTGAGTATGACTTTAAGTATGAAGATATACCCAGTCCTCATACTGTTTAGGTTATCACCTGTAAAAATTTGTAATCACACTGATTGGAACAGGTGTAAATTTGCTCACTCCATTCATACAACCTGTGGAATGTGACAGTTCGTGCCAATAGTCGATTCACTCCTCAAACGCTTCATCAGAGCGCTTAACAACCAAAGGTGATTCATTCAAAACCTAGCGGAGCATAAAAAACTTTTTGGAGGGCGACTTCCCTAAGAGCAAATAGTTCGAAAGCGGACGTGATTGATGAAAATCCAACGGTGCGATCCCGTAGGCTAATACATACAATTACGTTTTTGTTTACAAACAAGTAGATTTTTGTTAATCGGATATGGTGACTGTATTTCGCCTCCTTGATTTCATACTTTCCTTATTGATGAGTTTTGTTCACAAAAAATGTCCAAAGCTTATATTGCTATAATGACCTTCCTACGCTCGCAGGCCCTAGTAAGCTTACATACTTCCTTTGTCACTAAATGCGCACTCCTGAAATTAAAAAAAAAAAAAAAAGAAGAAAATTGAAATGATCGACGAATGATGTGTAAAATCAATCGAAACTTGTACGCAAATTGTCCACACTTGCATCCTTGATCATTGACTCCGCTGCGGGCACATGAATTGGAAGCAATCGTAGATGTCAATATTCTGTTTCACATTTCAATGTTGCTTCCGAAAGCAAGAAATTGATCTCGTTGATTTTGACATTACCCATGCGGTAGATTTCTTTATTTACACGTGCCACATTCATACTACCATGTTTAACTTCAAAGACCAACAATCCGTATTATCTACCTGTAACAACCTGCTCACACCATTCAACCGATTGTGGCTCGTTTATCAAAATATAGTTTCTCCCAAAATCTTCAGAACAGGACAGGCATTCACAGACAAAAGTTTAGTAGTCACCTTCTGGGGGATGTTATATTAAAAAGCTGTTTTCTCACAACCGGTGGAGAGCTTAAAGAGTTGGGAGAATATAAAGACTGAGAATGGACGAGTCTACCTGACGCATTTGTAATCCCAAAGGCATTTGTTGGTCGTCATAGTTGTGAGCACTGAAAAATCGTGTACAGGTTACAAGATCCATCGAATTTGATATGCTTTTTTAATAAGGAAATCCTTAAATGTCAATTGCTTCTTTAAAAATTAGGGCTGTGCAGAGAACTTGTCTTTCCTGATCGAACAATGGGATGTCTTTGGCAGTTTTCACGACGAAAGTTTATTTCTCTTGAGAAATTAGGAGAGACAAAACTCTCTCGATGTCTCTCACTTCTTGATCTTACCGCCCTCGGCATCGGCTGTACTTTGGGAGCTGGTGTGTATGTAATCGCCTGTGAAATTGCTCGAGATGTAGCCGGCCCGGCGACAGTGATTTCGTTTCTTATCGCTGGTATTGCCTCTGTCTTGTCAGGACTTTGTTACGCTGAATTTGGTGCTCGCGTGCCAAAGGCTGGATCAGCTTACATCTACAGTTATGTAACTGTTGGCGAGCTTATAGCGTTTATAATTGGTTGGAATCTTGTGATGGAATATATGATCGGAGCTGCCGCTATCGGTCGAGCTTGGAGTGCGTATTTCGATTCTATGCTACATGATAAAGTTCAACTTTGGGTTTTAGAAAATATTGGACCAATACGGATCGATGGACTTGGGGGATACCCGGATTTTTTGTCAGCAGGAATCATTTTTGTCTTGATGATTATTCAGCTGTTTGGTGTAAAGAAATCCACCGTGTTCGTTTCTGTCGTGACTTGCGTTAACATAATCGTGATCCTCTTTATAATCATCATGGGTATAACTTTAGCTAGACCAGAGTATTGGTCAGATTTTATGCCTTACGGTCCCACAGGAGTATTGGCTGGTTCGGCTACAGCCTTTTTCGCTTTTGTTGGATTCGACGTTATTGCGACTGCTGGCGAAGAAGCCGAGAACCCTAGTAAGACCATACCACTTTCAATTATGTTGGCACTAACGGTTTGTTTCTTGGCATACTTCGGTGTCTCTGCGGCGGTGACATTAATCTGGCCTTATAACAAGTTGGATTATGGCGCGGCCTTACCTAAAGCTTTTGAACACCGAGGAGCAGATTTTGCAAAATACATCATTGCGGCTGGTGCTCTTTGCGGAATGACAGCTGCTATAAATGGAGGGCTTTTCCCTTTACCTCGCTTACTGTATGCCATGGCTAACGACGGATTAATTTTTAAGTGCTTTGCGTATGTAAGTAAAAACACCGAGGTCCCTTTTGTAGGTACTATTTTCTCCGGGATTCTCGCGGGTATACTAGGAATGATCTTTGAACTGCAGGCCCTTGTAGAGATGATGTCTATAGGTACCCTCCAAGCATATACCATCGTCTCCACATCGGTTTTGATTCTCAGATATCAACCTGGGACTGTAGGCTTTGTCAAAAGTTCTGAGGAGCCTGAGTCGAGCTCTGAATTAAAGGAGCCTCAACAACAACCAACAGAACGGTCAGGGAGGATTTCAAGATGTATCATATGGTTCCTTTTCTTTTACTTCTTCGGTCTTAGTGCGTTCTTGATCAATGGGCTCATTCCAATGTATGAAGGAGAACTATGGGCCGTTATTCTGGCCGTGTTGTTGGTCATAGCTTTTGTAGCTGCAGTCGTAATGTTGTCTATGCAGCCGAAAAGTATAACGCCATTACCATTCAAAGTTCCGCTCGTCCCAGGCCTCCCTTTGTCATCAATGTTTATTAATATCTATTTGATGATGGAGCTTAATCCAGCCACGTGGATGAGATTCGCTGTTTGGATGGCCATAGGTGTGTGTGTTTCCTTTTTCCGGCCGGTCATGAAAAGATAGGCATGCAATGCATGCATAGAGAGATTCTACCATGCTAAATTAATGGTTGGAAGCCAGGGTGCTTCCCCATTGAGTTTCCTAATACCAGAACCGAATCGAAACAGCGAGTGCAGCCAAAAGTTAAACTCGCAAGAAGTTAACAAGAGCTCAAAGAAAATACATAAAGTCGATGCTAAGAGCGAGATTTACGATTAGTTTATTTAATTTTGCACCCAATCATTTGAGCGAGTGGCGTAAGTTTCCTGGACCTATCACAGAGCAGAGAGAACAATTGCGTTTTTTACTTCCTTACGTTGATTCAAAATTTATTTTAGGGCCTTTTTGAAATTCCCGACTCTAGCCGCCGTTTGCTGGATACCTGAGAATTGCGTATCTATTTCATGGTCCGGCTTATCAACTAGTTTTCTGTAAAAAGTCTTCTCCCTCGCTGGAACTCTTACTAAGGAAAGAGGGAATCACTTCGGTTAAGAGTAAACCTTATATAGCAAAGTTTCTTAGTCAGGAATTTTGTCTAAAGCAAAGCTGTTTCAAAACCTAGCTAGAAATCCTGGACTTAACTGTTGTGCAATTCGTTGCAAATCTGCGGGAAGAGGAGAACTGTTGGGCACCAGGAGACCAGAATATTTCTTGGATAAAAAAAAAATACATAGCAAACATACTTTTATTTAAAGGGGGTAAGTTTCTAAAGAAACTGTCGTGCTGCGTCGGTGGGAGAGTATAACAAGATAATTTGGTGTTATCAACTGAGTTTAGAACGTAAATTGGCCACCGTAAAGAGATTCAAAGCTGACGTTTCGAACGTTAGCCCTTCGTAAGAGCGGATTGGCTCTAATGAAGGGCTAACGCTCGAAACATACTTTTATTTAGCTAACTAGGGAACCAAACTCACTTGATATCACATGCAAATAGTCGAACTGATACCCTCATTATTTACTCTACAGGTCTGTCCATTTACATTTTCTACGGCCTCCGACACAGCGTGGAAGGGAAGCGACAACATGAACAAGAGGGATACGTTCCCTTAGAAAGAATTGACGGCAAAGATGATCAAGATAAGGATGTCGAAACTTTAGAGTGAAATAGCTGAAAATAATTATGATTCAACAAAATACAGAGATCATATTGGAGTTTGCAGGGCGTTAGGTTTTACAAAATTGTCAATTCCGTTCAATATTTGAAGATTTATTTGAAAAAGATCTACAAATGTAATGATACGAAACATTTCTTTGGTAACACTAAATATAGTCATTATCATTTGTTTTAACATTCTCTTGATGTTGTCATGGCAACCATTCATTGATATCTAACTTTTTCCAAGAAAGACCAAGACAAATCTTCTCTAAATGTTATAGAGTATGAGTGAACATATCTTCATTACGTCTCATTCTTCAATGAAAGGCATATTCAATACTCTTCTATTAGTTGAAATTTTTTTCCTGTAGTTGGACTTCCCAATAAACAAGCTTTATCATTCCAACTGTGGAAGAATGTATAAGGAGCTTTAGTAGAAAAGAACAAAGTCCGGCAGCCATGTTTTGAAACTGTTTGTAAGAGAGGAATCGTGACAGGTTTCAGAAACGAATTGCACGTAAACATAACCATAAAACCCAGTTAATCATTTCAGTATGAAAATTTATTAGACTAGTAATTATATGATATAGTAAGAGTTTGAGAAATCAGTATATTCTTTAGGTCAGTCGGTCGAGCTACAAACGTTATAGTGAAATCTGTGGTAATCCTGGTGGACCAATAAAAAGAAATGATCCATACATAATAATCTATCAGACACATGCTCTCTGTTGTGCCAAGTTTTATTTAAACTCATGTTATCCTGTATGAAAATTACTAGCATTGCAGCTGCATCGCTCATCCAGTCGTGTTTACTCCTTAAAAATATATATATATAGCGGTTGGTATTGACAAAAATAACGATTTCGGCTCCACTACGCAGTACAACATGAATTAGAAAAACCATCAGGTTTATTATGGCTGTTTCGGCCGAGTACCGCGCATATAACATTGCGTTATACAACAACCTTTATTACATTCAAACATGTGGAGGAAAAACTAGAACAGAGCTGAGCGACAGTTTACACAGAATACAGTCAGAACAGAGGCCAGAAAAAACCTGCCGGAAAAAACCCCAATAGGGAAAAAAACTCAGGAAATCTGGGTAGGATCCGTGGCTCATGCTCTGAAAAGCCCATCCTACGAAGGCTACACGGTTGGAAGGTCTTTGCCCTTATTTACTACACATGTATTCCAACAAAGCACGGAAAACTCTAAATAATTTTAGGAAACGCAAACAAGCTAAGAAACCCCTGCGAAACTCGAACTGTCACTAGTAAATCAAATATATACTAAAAAATAACGTGAGCAAGACGAGGTGTCGGCCTAGAATGCTTTCCCACGTGATAAACATCCCTTTTATAGCACTCCATTCTACCCATGCTGCACTTAAACTGCCCCAGTCTCCACTGCTCCCATGCCGCAGAAATATTTTATTTCCGGCTAATTCGTATCCACTCAAACGCCGGAAATTCCATTTCTTAGGATGAGCGTTCGTAGCTTGGACGTGAAAATATGCGAAGGGCAATATTCATCGACTCCTACTGTGCCAGTATTTCTTACTTACTTCATTTTGACGTCATAAACGATCCACGACTGAACAGACACGGAAACATGAAATCCTTTTGATAAGTAGAGGATAATATTCGAGTGGTATATCAGAGCATATCTCTCTTGTCACTTGTATTTTCTTTCTATTAACTCGTGCATCCAGGCTGATGTGTATATCATGGAATACACACGTATCGTGGGATATTTCGTGGTATTCCACGTGAAAGAAAATGTTGCACAACATTATATTATATATGAGGTGCAAACGTCAATTCCTGTGATCCATTAAGATAAATTGAATATTAACGTTCAAAACCCTTTCACATGAACTAAGAACTAAGCTTCTAAGCTTTTGTTTTGTCTAAGTTTCACACTCAATTGATTCACTTGAGATCACAATTGCTTCCTCAGAAATTTGCCTATTCAAAACCCATAAACCGAGGTAAAATATTGTTATACCTGTCTGTCAATCTGTACTAAAAATTGACTGATATTTGTAATTTTGCGATGATTTACAGTATTAACTTAAATAAGGTATAAAATAAAATAGCTCATCGTAAGTTCGCAACGATTATTGCGAAATGCGTCAACTGTTACGTCAATGGGAGGAGTCGAAATATAAATGATTATACTAGCATCAATTCATTTTTCAGCGAAAATTAATGAAATAACAATGAGCCTTTTTATCAAAGTGGAAAGACACAGAAAACCTTTGTTAAAAAGTTGCTATCTTTCCTTAAAAGTCAAAATTTTGAGTAATCTTATTTTCTTAAGAAAGTTTTTCCACACATTGAGAACATCAAGATCTCATTTCAATTCTCTCGCTTAGAGCACAGCTGTGATTGAAATGTAAATTCGGTCTTGCTGTTTCCTTTTAGGTGTAATATCCTGGGTCTTTGAATATCGACCGAAGGATGCACAAAACATGATGAGCAAACAAACAAAAAGCCTCCAGCAGAATCGGTGATATATAAGCTAATTAGCAACGAACGAGGTCATTAGTGAAGAAAGCTTCGTCCAGTTAAGATTAATTTCAACCACTTTGCATGTGACTGGATAATTTAATGCAAAAATGATTCCATTAGATGAAACGAATAATACCGGATACGAAGGACATAGGGGTCCTGAGGCAGCTTCGTCGCAAGACTTCTTTGCAGTATCCCGAAATCAAATGGAGGAAAGGAACTTGAGAACAAGGCTTGGGTCTATTGACCTCGAGGAGAAAAGAGCGCTTAGACGACTAAGCTCAGAAAAGAGATTGTTAAAAATCAAACAAGAAAAACGCTTGGGAAGTTTGACGTGCAGAAGAAATAGTGTCAATGGAGGACAAATAAACAACTCAGGAAGTTCGACTCCTCTTTCAGCGGTTTGTGAATTGTAGACTTGTTTGATATTTCTTTTATGACCCACTCAAGAAAACTAACTCGGGAAAGCATAAATATGATGGATAACTTTTGACTTGATCAGTTCCCAGTTAACTTGAGTCTTCGTCAACAGATTAAAAGTTGACAAATAAAGTGGAAACCCAGAGTCTATGGTTCCCAGGTGTGAGGCTAAATCACGAAGCGATATTGAAACTGATGAGAAGATTTCTATCAAAAATTAAAAAATTACCCGATCAAGTTTACATGCGTTTCGATTAACAAAACAAGACCACTTCAAACGGAAAGATCTCCTCACATCGTCACATAGAATTGTAATTTTCTCGTCTTAAATTGTATCAAACATGTTTACTTTAAGCTGATCAGTGTTATGTTTGGGAGCTTTAAGTAGCAATCGAGGTAACTGAATTTATGGCTGAGTATTTGCGAGGAAGAGGATCCAGGACCCAAGGATCCAAAACTTTACAGATACGAATAAAGAACGACAAACAATAACAAATCACTAAGAGTATAGCTGGTGGTCCAGCTGTGTAGGCGAGCACGTACACATAATCAGGAATCCCATGGTGCAACAATGCCACCCATGTGTTTCGTGTTATACTTCAGAAAAAATTATCTTTGAACTGCGCATTTAAAATTTTTAATATTCCCTTTGAATTCAAAACTACACTCTACAGGGCACACCATGTCAGTTTGACTTAGTGAAGTTGCAGTTCAAGGCTGACAAACGACGGCATTTGAGTTCTACTGACAGTGTAGAGTCGCCAGGAACCACAAAAGGAACTTCACCATCAACTCTTGACGAATTCGCCCAACCCTCCCCTAGGTCAGAGAAATAATTTTTACACGTATCTTGGTAAAACTGTTTGGTTTTTTTTAGTCATACATGTAATTGAAGTTTGTGGGAGACGCGCGGAGGCCTTAATGCGCTGGACTTCCGGTCGGGATGTAGCTAAAACGGGATAAGCTCTGGCAGTTGGGACTTGGCGCCAGCCAAAACTGACTTAACATTTTTTGTAATTATGTTAAAACTTCCGTATCATTTTCACCTTTCCTTTCCATCTAGGCTACCAAAGTTACCTTTGTTGAATAGTGTTGAGTCAGCAGAGCCTTTGAAGATAACAAAGCCTTTAAATTCAATATCAAAGAACAACGACCCATTTGCTGGCGATAAAAAACCTCCGTGGACCTCAGCTATTCCTCTGCGAAGTCAGAGCAAGTCCGAAGTGGCAAAGTCAATGGACGAACTTATTTGTCGCCATAGTGACGCAAAGTATGCACAGAACATCGCCGTACTAGGGGAAAAACCCAGTGGAACTCGTCTGAAACGGCAGACTTGGTGCGGGAAATCGCCACCTGAAATGCAAACGTTGCAGCCACTCACTCAGAGAAAAAATAGTTACTCTGATAATTTCTCTTCCCTGAGAAACCAAGAAACGAATCTTTGGGCCTCAACTGTCACCAACCCCACGGATATCTCGCAAATTCAGACTGACGACCGTAAAGCCCAAGACTTTCTGGTGAACAAGTTTAATCGACCCACTAGGACGGTTTACCCTGTAGTCGAAGATGTACTGCCTAGAAAGACTCTTACCGTGCCAAACTTTCCATTAAGAAATTCAAATTCAGCGAGTTCTCTGAGATCATTTGAAAGTCTCCCTCCAGTTTTCGAGGATCGGGATTTCAAATGTGACACAGAAGAAGAAGAGATATTTGAAGAGGCTAAGGTCGTTCCTGTCGGCCGCAAGGAAAGTCTCGTACTTCCTTCAGATGCGGCAAGTATGTTACGGCAGCGCCGAACTCGTACTCTAAGAAGGCAAGAAAGCTTAAAAGAAGACGATTCAAGTATCAGGTTACCAAGCAGCCAAACACAAGATACCACGCAGTCGCTCAGAGATGGCGAGGAAAGTTCTGGTGTTTCTGGAAAGCTAGTAGATCAGTCTAGCCATGGTCTAAAATCTAAGAATTTGGTGAAGAACTCTTCCTTGGAAAAGAAAAGACTGTCTGTAGGATCTATTTCTTTATCTTCAGCAACGGGTCCGAGTTTCAGAAAAGACACAGGACAAAAAATTATGAAGAAAAGGGGAAACGATAAAGAATGCGTCAAATCCAAATCAAAACAAGTCCTCGAAAAGGATACTGAAAGTAACGAGAAGAATGTCACCACACCAATCAGTAAGGCCAACTGGTTGAAAGCTCTGCACAAGGTCTTCAATATGAACATGTTTTTGAACGGCATGACTGCTTTGCAGAAGCAACGGGAGGTTGATCGTTTGGCCACAGAGAAAAAGAAAGCTGCTTTGGAACAATTATATGAAGAACTGAAGAATTGCAGATACCTGAGGATGCCTTCTAAAGAAGATGAAGAACAATGCGACTGTGTATCGTGGGTATTTGACAAAAATTGACAGCTGAGTATCCGTTTAGTAGTGTAAATAGAAAGCAGAGCCATCTTTAAAAAAAACGTTCGTGGTAAAAGTTCTGGAAACCAAAGAATATCTCGGTTCCTATCGCAGACCTCACAAACATGGTCTGAGAGTATTTTCATTTAAGAAAAAGTTCGCTCTCGAAGTACCCCGGTGAGTCATATTCAGGCCTTCCGCGGGTAAGAAATAATGCAACTTCGTAAGTCGCAAAGACGAAAAATGAATAATAAAATATCCTCAATTATGCAAGAGAAAAAATATGTGGATTTATTTCACAAGAATGCCTTTCTAAAAAAAGCGCATGCAACCCTTCGATACTTAAACCTTACATAGTAGTTATTTTTCAACATTTTAATCCTTGTTTTACAAATTCTTTCAAATCTTTATCTGTTTGACCATCTCATAAGTTTAATGTTTGCTATCAAAGCTGAAGCTGTCAAGAAAATTTTGAGGTCCTTTTTTCAGTATAAACCTATGTAAATAGCACGACTGAATAGCGTATATTGGGCAAATCAGAATTCAATAGATTTGCTCAGTAATTGATAATCATTGTGCTCAAGTGCAATGAAGGGTGAAGTTCAGTTGTATTTCAAAAGTTTTTCACATTGCTCGTTGGAAACTTTGTACTAACTTTGACCGGGTGACACTCTTTTGTTTGGGAAAATTTCACTGAATACAACGTCTTTCAGTTACAGCTTGGGAGTGACTTTCGTTAGTCTAAAATGATTTACAGGTGAAGGGTGGTTCTGAAAATAATTTTGCTGGATACAAACTCAATAAAAACTGAAATCGTGAGACTGTTTGGAAAGACCTCCGATGATAACTTTTGATCTTCTTTTTAAAAAAGTTTAAGTGGCGAGGCAAGATGTATGAAGCTCTGAAAACAAATTTGCCTGGGTGCTCTCGCACTCATTTTGCTGAATAATAGCTTAGCGTAACTTCAATTAGCTGCGAAATAGATAATTAGTAACTGAAACAATCCACTACAATATATTCTAGTTCGTTCAATCCGCTAATGCGTAGTTTATGATATTTTGAAAAAACTTGAACACACAAATAATAGGTTTTGTTGTTTACAGCCAATGAGCTTCAAGCAAATAACAGGCCTAATGACCGCTCATCCATCACACCCGCCCTAAAATAAGCCACGGCAAAAAGAGTAATAAGCCAAAACCTTTGTTTACGACTTCTTCTCGGAAACGAGAAAAGCATTACTACTGCTCTTTGTTTTCAATCACGAGGAGTAACTCTTGTTAATTTTTGTTGTAATTTTAAACTGTTATGGATGGGAAAAGTTCGAGACAAACACCTACGTTTTCGGACAATGATGAAGAGAGATTAAAACCTATTTATGCCCAAGGCAAAGCTGTGAAATTCTCAAAGCCAGAAAATATATTTGAAAAGCTTCGAAACAGAAGAAATGAGAGGAATACAAATCAGCAAGGAGCAAACGTGGAGGTTTGTCAGTAATGACTTTGATTAGATCGATTATTTTTGCTGAACTAGTTAAGACAGAGAAGCGGACTCTAAAACTGCCGGGCCGATTCGAACAAGAGACACCAAGTAAATCCTGTGATAGACGAACATTGACGTTTGTTTCCTTTAAGCCCCTGTTTCGTGGTGCGTCTTTAACGTTTAAGCGAGTCTTTTGATTAGAGAAAACAAGTAGAATTACCTTTTGGACAAGGGGCCAGTGAAAGTTTTTATCTAAGTGATTCATAATCGTGTAGGGCAGTCAAAACAAACAACTACTCATTAGCCCTAACATTTCTGTCTTATAAGCTTGAATAATTTACGAAATTTTCGTGGTTTCTGGTGAAAACTGCCGTAGGAGCATTTTTATATAGGATATGCAACGTTTCTGTTTATCTCATGATTAGGCGTGAATCACAAGCTGTATAGTTGTATATTTAATGAGTTTACTCAAAGACATCTCATCGACACGCTTTGACAAAGGCTTTTCCTTAGACATTTACTTGGAGCTGACATCTTTATAGCCTGTTCACAACCTATAAATGACACTTTGAGCGACGTTGACTAAGCGCTAGACTGTCTAACATGTCACGCTGATTATAGCAGTGGTTTTTGTTGTTTTTTCTGTTGTTATAAACCAGAAGTAAATTGAAAAAGAACGGTAGATCCCAAACTATGCTCATGATCTAATAAATTTGATATTTTAGTGTGTGGGTTCAAATTAGTTTTCCTTCATTTTGTCAAAGTGTATTTACTTACTGCAATCGCACAATGCACACAAATCGTCATGAAATCTGAGTTCTATTGCAGCTTTCAGCCCCGGTTGTGCTCACTAGTAAGAAATTCAGTGGTCACTCTATAAATGTATTAAAAATTGTCTTAATTGCTAGTAAGGCCATTAGCTAATGGATGGATTAGCAAGTAGTCTGGTTGGCGCCTGCTAGAGAAAAGAAGTGATCTTTCTTCAATAACATTGAAAAGAGATTACAATTGTCATAAGAACCACAATAGCTTAATTATATGTGAAACACGATTTCTTAATTGCTGAGGTAAAAGGATTTAGGAAGTTATTACGTTCACATTGTAGTACAACACGAACTTTTGGCTCAATTTTGCGAAATGTCGTGCACGTCTTTGATATAAACAAAGCACCTGATCAACTCTTTATACCCTAATATCAGAATGCATATCCTCCATAATGTTTTGCATCCATGTCTTAAGGCGCTGACAAGGAGAATTTGTTTAACAATCAAGAGCTTATCCTTTAATGTCGTGACCGTAATGTTTGAATCAGGGGTGATATTGTAAGGAGAAATTAGATGCTAGTCACTCGAAGGGTTTAATTCCTCGACCGCATGGTAAAACTAACTACTTTTTGACAGAAACAAAAATACCCTAACATTACCCAGCTACAGGCTTACATTGGAAAGGAGATGGACTGGGACTGGAGATTGAACACTCAAGTTAATTTCCACTTAGCTCGATGAGTGGCACACAATTTTTCGTTAAAAAAGCCGGTTATTTCCACACGTTTATCTAAAGGCTCAGTGTTTTGATATGCAGAATCAAACTACGTTAAAGGAGCGAAGTAACCTTGAATTCAACAAAGTTTAAAGCGGTTAAAGCGGCATTTCATTAATCAATGTCGACGTATGGTGGGAGTAAAAACTTGGGCTGGAGATGAACAGGAGCTACTCACGGTACACTAGTGAGCAACTCTGTCTTCTCAGTGAATGTATTTGGGCAACAGGAAACCGTTAAGATATGAAAACCATCTTCACATAGCTTGAAGTCTTTGTCCTATTTTGTTAACGTCTTGAGTTTCCCTAATATCTTGAGTTTCCAGCGTGAATACATAAGTAAACATTAGTTTCTCTACATCTTAGCAGGAAGATACTTCTACCACATCCAGAGTATTGAAGAACACATTGCAACACGGGAGGCCTGAAAGGATCGACACAGAAAGTCATTTTAACACTTCTTCAACCCAAGCAAAATTAAAGTAGGTTAATTTCTTCTTAGTGATGTATTTTTCGAGGCTTAAAAAAAGTATTCTCTGAAGGTTCTGAGCAAACTTGTTTTTTGTTTTTCATTTAGAACTCTGGGTAGTCCACCCGATGGAGAAGCTACTGAAAGTCCGCGTCTTAAACAGTCTTTGTCAGCACCATCCATATCAGTCACAAGAGAGATAAAAGAGTTTATTCCGATCGGTCATCTTAAAGTAAAACCTCAGAAAACCGAAGACAAAAGGTACCTCTGTGTTTCCACCCCCTCAATCCTTACAGTTGTGAAGGGAAATCTTAAGATGATAGGGGAAACCGTTAGCCATGTGGGTACTCCAGTTATGATGAGAGCACCTAACAAAGTACAATTAAGTTCCAGTCCTCAATTTCTGCGGGCAATGAGCCCGGTGGCTTGCTTTACCAAACCTCCAGGGAATAAAAACGCTTCTAATGTTAATCACAGCAAATTCGTCAACGTCTCTGTAATTCAACCGTCAACGAGAGCAGAAATAACTTCGGGTGAGCTCGATTCGGCAGTGGAAAGCAGAAATATTATGACTAAAGAGAAACTGAAAATTAAATCACTTGAGGAGCAAATGGTTGCAAAGGAGAGCGAAGTGCTACCTTCAGCAAAACAACAAGGAAGCCCTATTCTTCAGCGAGTACGAAGCCTCTCGTGCTTAAGCAAAGAGCCAAATAGTGCTGCCGAAGTCAAGATCGTCGACAACTCAAATGTCTCCACGCATTCTAAAAGTCCACAGTCGATGGAGGTGGGTACTGCCGTTGTGGTCATCAACGAGGAAGAAAGACAGAGAGAAGTGCCCAAAGGAACTAGAAGTCCACAATTAAAAAGTGTTAATAAAGTTGGTGCTATGGTTGATTGTTGGCAGAAAAACAAAAAAGTGACGTTTACAGCGCCCAGAAGTCCACAACTGAGGAGGGCAAATAAACTCAACGCCATGGTTGACTCTGGAGATAAAAAATCCCAGAGAGAGATTCACACAGGGGCCAGAAGCCCAAAATTAAAGAAGGCCGATACACTTAAGGTTTTGTTTGACTCTGTGGAGAAAAGTTACAAAGAGTTAAAGAAAGACCCTAGATTGTCAACTTCACAATTAAAGCGGGCCGATGTACCAAACGTTGAGACTGACACTGGAGAGAAAAGCGAAAAAGAGATGCACACAGAGCCCAAAAGTCCACGCTCAAAGAGAACCAATAAAGTTAAAGTTAGTTTTGAAGATGGGGAAAATGGGGGAAAAAAGGAGCACGTAAGGTCAAGTTGCTCACAATTAAAGGAAACGAATACATCCAGCGGTGTGGTCTCCTCGATGGAGGAAGAGGAAAACGATACAAACTTAGTGCCCAGAAATTCAGAGTTAAAGAAGACCGATACACCAAGTGGTATAGTTAACTCTGAAAAGGAATCACAAAATGAAACACAAATAGATATCATAAAAGCCCAAGATCAAGAAGGGGAGTTATTTCCGAAGGAAACGAAACTACATAGCTCTGATGACTCTTCTAGTAATTCTCTGACTCCATCATCACCAAAACTACAGTCGACTTCTCGAAACCCTCCTCTCCAACCCGAACGAAACTCTTCTGGTTCAACCATCGTCTCAAATGATGCTAGCAGTTTGGACAAGAGCAAAATTTACAGAAGTCCTAAACTGAACAGAGCTAGGGCATGCGCCAGGCTTGTGGCCTTTGATCCGTGGATCAACGAGCATGGTACTTTGGAAGAACAGACCTCAAGCTGCAAAGGCATTTACAAGGTCAACAGGAGCCGAAGCCTTTCAGTACCTTTGGCTGAAAAATCAGAAAAAGAAAACGACAATTATCCTAAAAAAGAAACCGTACAGCAAGAAAACCACGACAGGAATAACTTTGCTAAAATATGTGATCACGTGCCACTTCCATCTAATCAAAAGCAAACTCGACATCTTCTGTCAACTGATGAAGTTTCATTCATGCGTAAATCCACAGGTGACATTCAGGAGGCTTTACAAACTTGCTCAAAGGAATTGGAACCACTGTGGGACCCTTTTGAGGAAGTAGAAAGCGCGATGGGTTTTGAAATCAACCAACCGAACGAAACTTCGATAGAACAAGGCTCCTATAACCAAATGACCCTTTCGCCTTGCGCAGACAGACGACCCGCCTACAGGACTCGCGCATCGTCCATGTCAAAAGTTCACGAGGCCTCTGACGATAAAACTTTTGCTGGTAATTTAACAGCCTTTACCCTTAAAACACATCTTTCAGCTTTCCACAAGCCAGTCAAATTTCGAGAAATAACGGAGCCTCTGAAAAAGTCGAAATGGTTTCATGCCCTATCTCAAATTCGTTCTGATGGCGACTTTAGGACTGCCATGTTGGAAATACAAAAACAAAAAGAACGAGAGAAAGCTTCGGGGAAAAAGAAACCGTCTGTGGCGGCTTCTTTCGAGGAAATTAGACGTTGTAGGTATTTGAGGATACCAGAACATTATCAGGTTCAAAGTAAGGCCTTTCAAGATTCCTCAAGCGACG